TCTGTTAGTGGTTTTATACTTTGTGAATTGTACGCTATGATGCAATTCCCGTTCATTTGCCTTGAAACTTTGATCATTTGCATATTCGATCAAGATGTTTTTGCATACCAAATTTCGTCACGATCACAAAAGTGCTTCTTAGTGCTTTGCTTTTTTTACAAAAGAGTGTATACTGTAAAATTCTGAGCTGAAGTATTCAGACTCAAAGAAAATGAAAAATAAAAATACCCAGTACTGACAAAACTGATGAAATCTCTTTTAACTTGCTTACCTGGAAGTTAATTATATGGGTGATATTATGTCAGAATGATAAACATTCTTGAACAGTAATAACATAGATGTTGCATAGACTGAAATATTATTTACTCTTATTACACAAAACTGAATGGAAAGTTTTTGGTTCAAAAAATCCTTCCAATAACTATTGGTAAAGATTTTAGGGATAATCATTACATTGCACTCAGCTTATTAAAATTCTTTATACTCCACAAAACAGTCTCTTTTTTTTCCATAAGTTTCCCATGAAGCTATTGTCTTCTTCAAAATATGCTACAGATAATACTGAATTTTTAATAGTTTGCAAATCTTTATATACATAAGCGGCTAAAGTGTGTGTCGCCAATAGTTTATTGTTGCCACTTGGAAAAATGGGTGCGGAAATTAACGTTTCTGCATTTTTAATTAATATCTCAACCGATTAAAGTTATACGAAGATTAGAACGGTATTGATGGATTCGGAGAATTTTTTGGAATCCGAGGATACACGTCTCGAATTTCAACTCGGCGCCGTTCCGTAGATATTCGAAAAGAAAGAATTTGGCAAATAGCCAAATCCCTCTAATAGGGAAAACCCAAGAAAGAAAGTGAAAAATTAGTTTTGAATTAATACCTCGGCTAATTAAAGTCTCACGAAGACGCGAATCGTTCCAAATGGCATGCTACGGACCTGCGGAATCCTACGGTGTGCTTCGCTAAGTCCGGAAGCCAGCCGTTTCAAAGAAGATAATGTTACTTTACTCCATATATATATATGTGGCTTAAGTGTCTGTTTGTCGCCGATAGTTTATTGGTTGCTTGCGTAACTGTACTAGCCAATGGGGTGAAGTTGCCATGGCCCAGGGTTGTCGTTTCAATTGAGACGTAGAAATTTCCTGTAAAACTCGCCTTTGCTATGACCATCAATAAGTCTCAGGGCCAAACACCTAAGCGTGTTGGCATTTTTTATCTGAGCCTGCATTTGGACACGGTCAACTTTATGTTGCCTGTTCAAGAGTTTGTGAAATAACGGACGTAAAATTAAAAATAATTGATGGTCCTCTGCAAGGCGAATTTAAAAATGATGGAAAGATCTACACAAGAAATGTGTACAAAGAGATCTTTGAAATGTGAATTAACATTTTATTATTTAAAACACGTTTATTATTGAGCTAGCGGTGGCACTCTTAAGAAATGTACCACCAGTGGTTTCCTTCCATTGCACTCTACTTTAAGCAATTAAGCAAGTAGAAGGGGGAAACCCGTGGGCGTAAGCAAAGAGGTGTCCTCGCTGCCTGCTCTGGGTAATTCAGTTTGAATTAGCAGACACCTTTGCACAAATAATTTTAATTACAATTTATAATATCTAGAACAGTGGTCATTTTGTATGCCCGCTGAGTTTTCTAGTAAACTGTATTTCCCAGAAAGTAACCTCCCTTTGAGGAAAAATAAGCTTAATATAGTCATTATTTTTTAAAAATGTTGAAAAACCAGACAGGTAACTGTGATTTGATCCATAGAAACATAATTTCGATATATTAAGTACATATACATCTGGCTTTGGCCAATGAAGTAGTTTGAAAATATGTGTGTAAGCTCATATGCATTTCATATCAGTATTCTGAATTATTTGAAATTATTTTGGACATTTACCACACAATATTTTTCAGGAATTCTGAAAGGGAGTTGCTCTGGAATATATTAAAAAATTGAGTAAGAGAATATTGCCATTAAGTCTTATCCCCATGTATAATATATAAAGAAATTGTGAATACAAAAAAAAAAAAAAAAAAAAAAAAAAAAATTGCATGGCAACATTTAACATTATCAGGAATTGTAAAAGTATAATATAAAATATTTTTAACTTCCACACACCAGTTTACCATTTGGCAAAGCGTAAAATATTTAAATTTTGTTAAAATGCAACCTGCCTGTTATGGATTAACAAACTAAGTGATTTTAAAAGCAATAAATGCAGTTATTTCTTTCTTTTATTAAGTAGCAGCTGGACCTGTGAAATTACACTAGCTGGATGTATTGAAAGCTTTCTATACATATATATATATATATATAAAGTGTCAGCAGATGATCTGCAAGCTCAATGAGAGCTTTTAAAAAAACTTAACAAATCCTCTGATGTGACATTAAAATCTGGATTCTTTTTTCATTCTTAGTGAAGTAATGGATCTTCACAAATAATGAAGTAAGAAGCACTTTGGTAGCTTTGAAAATAGCCTTATTCTAGTTTGTATGAGAAAGACTGGTAAGTTACAAATAGAACTGCATTATTATTATTTACATTTTTTTGTTCAAAGAAATACTTTACCCAATTTTTACATCTGAATTTCTGCAAAAAACGCAGAAACTAGCTAACAGTCCTAAAAATTTTACATGAATATTTCCTCTGAAAGTAAATTTTGAAATTATAAGATTAGAGTTTAACATAATTAAAAAATTCTAATTTTTAGGCAACTTTAAAAATGAAGGTGAAATTTGTTAAAAATGTATTGATGAATCACACAGAAAGTATTACTATTAGCATTGTCATATCTCTCAAAAGAAGCTATAGATGACTTTAGTTTAAAGAACACATAATTACAGTTGTTATTATAAGCAATTACTAAATTTCATTTTTTGTTGTTTTTTAGTTTCACCTTACATTAACAATTTGATACAAAATCTTAGAATAAAAGTCATGGTTTAGATCCATATCTCCTATTAAACATTTTTTTCCCCAGAACAAAGAGAAAGGTGTGTGAGGGGAAATAAAAGAACAGTAAAATAAAGGTGTTATTCTTTAATCTCTAATAGCCTTTACTTTTTCATTTAAAATTTAAAAGAAATTTAGAGAAAATTTTTTATGAAATATAAAAAATTGTTATCGGAGATTTCCACAAGTTTGTTACATTAAATTTTTATACATTTGGAAGTTTAGTATAGCCGTATAAAATAACATTAAGTGTATAGGAAATTGGATGGGACCAAAACATTTGTTCGTTACAAGCAATGGTTCCTATAGTGGGGTTTGATTGCACTTACTGATAAAATGCTATTTTAGATCATAATTAAGAAGATTTAGCCCAGATTCTATTTGTTATGAATTCAATTGTTCTAGCCAACCAGTTAACTTTTAAAACAATCTGATAATTCTCTTTCTTTCCCCCTTTGAAATGTAACAATGAATTTTCCTGCAGTATATTCAGTATCTAAATAAAAACCATCAATACATTTTTCTTGCAGTATTAAGCACATTTTTTAAAGTATCCAATTTTAAATAGTGAAAAATGCAAGAAGATGGATTTTAAAAAGAGGCAATTCTTATTTAATATCATTCTTTAAAACGTAACCTCTAAAAGCTGCACATTCTGGAAAGAAAAGGAATTAAAGTATTTATTATCTACTGAATGAACAGATCTGGGAAACTAATAAGATTGAAGTATTTGCTTTTTAATAATAAGATAACAAATTTCTCTTGAATTATCATATGGAAGGCAATAAATTTTACTGATGAGTAATTAATATCTTTTGGTTAGAATCATCTAAAAAGATTTGACTATACATTGGTATTAATTCTGAGAAAGTGCAATCATTTTTCTAGATTCTTTGACATTTAAAGGTTAAGTTCAAAGTTCAAGAAACTTTTTTTTTTTTTTTTTAATTGCAAATAAAATGGTACCGTAATTTCGCGCGTATAGTCCGCGGACTATCTGTTTAAAATGTGATTTGAAGCTGCGGACTATCCACCAGTGCAGATTTATGCTGGTTGTTTATGGTTTAAATGTTTGAATTTAAAAAACACGCTGTCGTGAACTGCCGTGATCAATACAAAAAGCGAGAGTTCAAAAAAATTGTATATCGTATCGCTCGTCAACTCGGTTTTTAGGAGCCTTAGTAGCAAGTACCTGGAGTACGAAGAAAAGCGTGATTCGTTTACTTACAGCGTGGTTGGCAACACCGGTGAGTGGGGTTCGAATGTCATTTCATACCATTATCATGAGGATAGCATGTTTGCACAGTATTTTGTCTTTCATCTTCAATAACGTTGAAAAACATCGCCTTTTTTTTCTATTTTATACTCAGTTTCTTTGTTTCTAAATACATTAAATTGCCGTATTAAAAAAAGTAATTTCGGACGTACAGTCCGCAGACTATCCGGTGGTGCGGACTATCTGACGATTTTTGAATTTTTTTTTTATATAAAATCGTGTCTGAGGACTATACGATGGTGCGGACTATACGTGCGAAATTACAGTACTTTGCTGATAACACCTATTTTGAAAAAATGCACGGGGGATGGGGGGGAATAGTGCAATAGTTTTACATTGTTTACATCATCACCAATTTGGATGGTTTTAATACATGTTACAAGGTTCGAAATTCATATTCATCCAAAATATTAATTTCCACATCAAATTACAGTCACAGAAAGGAGATGGCAACATCAAATGAGAAAAAACAGTATATGCCAATTTCCAAATATGTTATGAACAGTTCATAACTTAACTACTGTTGTTAAAGTTATTATGAACAGTTCAAAAATACATGTTTGCATTTTCCTAATTAAAATTCTGTGAAAGCACTTATTTATATGTTTCTTGTATTTATAATAAAATTTGTAAATTTCATTGCTGTTTTCAATGATTATTTTTTCATCACTAATTGTTATCATTCAGTTGAAGTTATCAAAATAGCTGTGGATAAGCACGACCACATTAAGTGGCGACTACTGTATTTTGCCAATCATATTAATATAAATTTAAATCTATATGTCCTCGATGTGCTTCATATCCTGAATGAGATTTTCATTTTAGATAAGAAAACATGAAATGAATAATGATTAAATATTTGAATGCTAAATAAGAAAACCACAGCAGAATTTTTAAAAATAAATACTCACTTAAAACAGTATCTGTTATTAGTTTAAGATGCTCGGTTGGGTTTCGATTAGGCATTGTTCTTGGGTAAACATGAATTTCATAGTCAGGACCGTATTTCATGAGATACTGAAATAACAAATTTTTAGGAAAAATTATATTTTCTTTAGCATTCCTAAGCAAACGCAAGAAAAAAAACAATTGGTAATGCATCTTATATCTAATAAAATACAAGTAGAAAGAAAAATTAATAAATTTAAAAAATGCTTTAATAAACAGTAGGTTTAAAAAAAAAGACTATCGGTGACTGAAATACTCTCCTTCAAAATATGTGAAGTAATTTTTATAAAAGTGAATGACGTTTTCAAGGAAGTATATATGGATGAAATAACAGCTCTGAAGTTATGTTCTAAGAGCTCAACACTATCAATGGCAAAAAGAAACAATGGGTTTAAAGTTAATAATAAAAACAATAGATTTTTACTTGTACATGATTCAATGAAAGGTGTTAGCAAGATAATTTCTGCTAGCCTAAATATAATAACCAAAAACTAAATAGTTATGCCCTCAACAATTACCGCTTTACAAATCTATATTATGAAATGGAATTCAACGTTAACCAACTTTTGTTACACATAGAAGTACAAAAGCCTTAAAAAGATAAGGCTTGAAGTGGATAATGAAGTATATATATTTTGTATATATATAATGATTTTGTTTTCTTTTCCCCCGCAATGAGAATTATCTATGCAAATATGCAAATGCTTATGAAATAGCAGTTGTGCCAATGAAATATTAGCAGTTGTTTGTCAGACCTATTTGCCAAAATCAATACATTTAAGTAAACATTAAATTCAGAAACACCAAAAAACTGAATATCTGCCTTATTTAGAGCATTTCTGTAATTGAAATTACAGTACCTGCTGCTTATTAAACTTCCTGTTTAATAAACAAAACCGCTTATCATTTTCCAAGTTTTGAAGAATCAACACAAATGTATACCAGTCAATAGAAACCTGCTGTTTATTAAACTCATCCCTCCCCCTTAAACTCATTATGACAAAAGACTGATTCATCAGTTCCATAATATCTTTAGTGGCAGAATTTCCTGATCTTAATGTTAACAAAAACAGTCCTCTAGAGCACTGTAAATGAGTGAGGGTTCCTTCTTAAATACCAACTACTATAAGGTGGAAGTTCAACTTCAGTATCCGATCTATAAGGGTTTCTGCATTCTAAATCTTCCCTTTGGGATAGACACATTATGCTCACAAAGAAATATAAAAAAAAATTATGAAATACTTCTAAGCATTACCTTCATTAAGAGTCTCTGAATGAAAAAGAAGTGGTAACTGTAGACAGAAGAAAAAGCAAAGAAAAAATTGATTATGCTTGCAGTCATGAAGGGCAGATCAACTTGATACGTAAAATGCAGTCCCTGCTGGCTAAAAACATGAGTTTCGGAATTGTATAAATCACTGGAAGGAGCATTCATCTATTATATTGCTTAATTTATAATGTGTCAAAAATGCTTAAGCGAAAAATTTATGCCTAAAAGAAATGGATAAATCGTTAAAAGGTCTTGATGTTCTTGGTTAGTGCAAGCCTCCCCTTCTCCCAAACAAAGCTGCATTTAAATTGACAATTTCCTAAACAGCACTGTGCAATGTACTTAGATTAAGAAGCATAATTGATGAAGAACTGATGAAAAATAAAAATGTCTTCAGAAAGTACTAAAAAGACAGAAAATCGAGAAATGTTGAAATTGCTTTTCTAGAATGGTGTCAAGCTATTAAGCTACTTTTTTTTTCTATTTCTAGAGCAATTTCCCCAATTCAAGAAATGCTAAAAGAGAATTTCATATCAACTGACACATGGCTCACAAGATGAAGAGAGAGAAATCCAGTATTGCTTGTTCATCAGAATTGCATGGTGAGAAAGATCATTATGTAGCTGATAACAAGATACAGTCAAAAGTCGTTAATCCGGACTCGTCAGGACTTTGGCGATTCCGGATTATTAATTTTTCCAGATTATAGATCATCAGTTTAAATCTGGTAAGATGGCATGCAGAAATTATAAAATTAAAAATATGAAACTGTAATTTATGAAATAAAGAACAATTATGATCTAAAGGGTATCAAAATTTAAAAAAAAAAAAAAAAAAAGCTTAATATTTATTTGTTTACTTTATTAAACATTTCTTTCAATGTAAGTTGTTTAAGTTGCTTCGTTTTTATGTGATAATACATTCTCTTTAATTCTATAAACAGACATAATTTCTTGTTCAGTTACAAAGTTCCGCTGTTCAAGTCCTATAATTGCTGTGTCTACCGACTAATTTGTCAATCGAAATTTTTTCGTTTTCAATAACCTCTGTTACTTTCTTCGCTATCGGAAGCGAATTATAATGACAAGGAATTTGATTTAAATCATATCAAAGACGGAGTACATCGAGATGAAATACTACATTTAGTAAGGAATTATAAGCCAAATAAAATAAAAACATCTGCCCTGAAGATAAGGATAGTGCTGACAGATCAACTTCCAATTCATTGCGCACCGCGGCGTTAAAGATAAACAAAGTTTAGATAAACAAACGTTAAAGTTTAGATAAACAAAGGATATGCCTTTATCCATTTTTTTGCAGCAATTCCACTTTTGTTTAATGGAACTTTGAAACATACTTTCGATTTGTAGATCCTTTACATATTAATAAATATATATCAGAAATTCTATTTGACATAATCAAAAGTTCAAGCTTACTTTTATAAAATTGCAAAAAATAATAAGCCGGATCCAATTTGAAGATTAAGGAACAACGCAATCTGCAACATTAACTGAAATAGATAATTAGATAATTTTTAGCTTATACCATCCATTATACATTAAACACGCATGCGTAAACGTATTTTGCGCACGCGCACAAGCATATTCGCAGCTGTAAAGGTCTTTGACGCATGCGCAGAAAGTTTGTAGCTTTGAGGTCCGGATTATAGATCATCCCGGATTATGGGTGTCCAAATTAACGACTTTTGACTGTAAAAGGTACTTTACTTGGCCTGTTAAGTGCATACAAGACATGAGAAATTTATAATACAAATGAAATTGGACTACGTTAAGGACATTACCAGAATAGACATTAACATTACTGATAAATATGCATTAAAAATGAAATGCCAGTTTGTTTAAGAAACTGCAGAAATAAGTTACTGAGTTATTAATGTGTAATATGGATTCCACAATTAAGAAGACAACACTGCCTATTGACTAAAGTAGAAAACATTAATGTTTAAAAGGAGCCAAGATTTTACTTCTAATTTGCCATAGCTGCAAGAACTCACGAATGACAAATACACTGATGTGCAGAAACTAAGGATGAGGTAAAGAAATCAGCATTAAAGCGGAACAAAGCAACAGACACCAAAAGACCAGTCAGGAGATAAGACATAGGAACAGTAGAGTAGAGCATGCACATATATGGCACATGACTTAGGGGAGGAATGTCGGAAGAGGTGTCTCACATGGCAGTATATGCTGAGCAATTCAGTGAAAGCTACTGCAAAGTGTACAGAGATTTCAATGATGTCAAGTTGTTACTACTGTCTGATATGCGAATAGGCAATCTATGAGACATCATAAGTATAATACCAAGATCTCATAACTGGAAAGTTGAAAGAAGGTCAAAGGGTAAAAAGTGTAGTAGAGTTCAGGATTACTCACAGCACTGTTTCACAAGCCTAGAAAGCATTTCACATGGCAGGAACGGCTTTTTGAGAATTCAGTAATATTTGTCAGTGAGCAATAATTGGCAGTGGAAAACCCATCTATTATCCTACAGGTGAGGAGAGACAGGTGGCAGACAAAAATAGCTATCGCAAGGCACATGCAACAAACTGCTGAACATCCAAGGCAGCATAAACATGGTCTATATGTACGATGATCAGTATGGTATGTGCCATCAATGCCTGCTCAATAGAGACGTCAGTTTCTATGGTACCAGAAACACAAGAATTAGTCACAAAAAAACAGTGGGATCGAATGCTCTTTATGGATGTCAATTTAGTCTGATGAGCAATTTTGAACGTTACAGATGTGGAGAGGGAAGGGAACATGCAATCAATCCCCCAACACCATTGAAAGTGGCTGTTTAGGAGGTGTCAACGTTCTCGTTTGAGATAATATCCTGCTTGGTAGCTGCACTGACCTTCATATCTCTCAAGGAGTTCAGTCTCTGTACACTATTGTACACAGCTTCTCTTGCCTCCTGTGTGTCTGTTAAGAAATACTGTGAACCCAGTCTTCCTCTTTATGGATGACAAAACTACAACTTTGTAAAGTAGCTGTTGCAGAGCTCTTGTAGAGTGAAGATATTCCAACACATGGATTGATCTGCAAGATCCCAGGATCTAAATCCTATAGAATAAACACTGGACCTTCTTGAGAGATGTTTGGCAGCATATGACCAGCCACCAGCAATGATTCCACAGCTGAAATTGGCACTACAAAAAGTATGGGTCATAATGTTTCAACAGCTTCTTGACAACCTTGTCCTCAGCGTGAACAAACAGACACAATTTCTGCTTTATAAACAGGGGTGATCATATTCCCTTGTAAAGACTGAATTTTTTTAATTCAGGCATCTGTCACATGGATGTTTCTGTCTTCTCTCCAGTTGTGCAGATTTCCTTTATGGGTTTCCATAAAGCACATCTTTTTATTTCTTTTTGTTCCTTGTTTGGATGCTTTTGGTTACTTAGCCCATATTTTCATATTTGGGGGATCTTGATGATTTCATATTTTGGTGATCTAGTATGATTTGTATCAATATGGAACACTTCTGCACAACGTTATATTTGAAAACCCGTCATCCATAAATTTTGCAGAACTATACAGCTGTGCAAAATTTATAAATGGTGGGTTTTCAAATAAGATTTCCTCAAAGTTTTGCAGAACAATACGGTTGTGCAAAAGAACTTTAGCCTATAATTGTGAGCACTTTGTAAGAAGTAGCACTGTAAATATTTTTGGCCTTATTACACATACATCAAAGTTTTTCTCAACAATTTGTTTTGGGTTAATATGCACATGATATGAAGATTTGGTGATCTGAAAATCATTGTCATACG